AGAGAGTAAAAATAGTGATGCAAATAATGTCAATGGCCATAATGACACTTCTTTTTACTGTCAAATCTTGTTTTTTTGTGCTCTCATATGGTATATATTAATAAATATTGCATCATGCTCGTCCAAAAACCCTATGGTAGAAAAAAGACAATAGGTATTAATCACAACCCAACAAAATTATACCGAATCCCAAACACAATGAAAGCTGATTTTTACACATTCCACACACATCTCAAGGATCGATTTTTAGAGATTATGCATTTATTAGTACGGCATTAAGTTCAATTACTTTTTGTGCATTAGCTTTGTGTAGTTGTTTGGTAACCATATCCTAATTCTACTTAGGCGGGATGGACACATAATTAATTAGGTCGTTGATCTTGTTTAATTGCTTTAACACGTTTTTATGATGGTAATATATACAAGGCAATTACTTAACATGGAAAGATAATGAGCAATGTGTCATAGCATTTACAATCATTAGATTATGATGTAAAAGAGTTATTTAAAAATTAATAACAATGAAAATAAAGACTACATATATGTAAAATAAAAATCTTCTACTATAATTGAATGCCACATAAATTATATAGATCCACTTCATATATATTTATTTTATAATACATGTAAATACATTATTTTGTAAATAGTTGTAGATGACTCTATAAAAGGTGATATTCGATAATGTAGAGTAAAACTATTGAATTTAATTTTATTCAAATAAATAAATTCACCACTACAAATTCCTATATAAATTGCTTTAATTGAATTTTTACATCATATATCGAATTATATTTGAACGATAAAATGACATATTTTTATTGTAATTTTCTTAAAGTATAGTATATGCTTTGGAAAGTATGCATATTTATTTAAAAAGTATGATCGGTTATGATTGAGAAACACTAATTACATATCTTAGAATCATATTCATAATTTCTCTCCAACAATTAAGTAAAAGCAAATTACGAGTAGCATTGCCCTTGTTTCTTATGGGTTTGATTGAAAATAAATTAATTCAAAATTAAATATACTTTTCTTTCACTATTTTTACTTCAACCCCTATAGTAAGTCAAAATATTCCCAAAACCCATACCATTTTTACTTCCCTTACCGCGTTTTCCCGCAGGACCCAAAAAGGCCAAAAACTCGTCGCAAAACACCATTGTACCTCCCGCACCCCCAGTTGTACATTTCCTTACGTGTTCATCACCACCGCCATTGATATACACCTCCGCCTAAAGAAATTTCCATATTTTTCCCACCCAAAATCTCTCTCCCACAAAACCCTTTTCCTTTTAAGATCTCTCGATTTCGCAATGCAATCACAGTTGATCCGTCTGTTGAGGAAGGAGTATACTTCATCCCCAATCTGACAATTGCAGCGAGCATGGGTTGCGGCGGGTCAAAGGCGGAGGATCTGCCGCTGGTGGTCCGCTGCCGCGAGCGGCGGGACCTCATACGCGCCGCCGCCAACCACCGTTACGCTCTCGCGGCCGCCCACATCTCCTACTTCCGGTCGCTCAGGGACGTCGGCGATGCTCTCCGGAGATTCGTTGACGAGGAGCTGGTCACCGCCGCGTCGTCTTCCAACTCATCCTTCTCCTCGCCGTCCCTGACGCTGCCCAGAGATTCCAAGCAGAAGCACGGCAATGCGGATGAATCTTCTAGGCATCTGCGCGACTTCGACGAAGAGGATGAAGATGATGACGAGTCGCACTTGCATATTTCGGATTCCTCCTCAGACGCGGATTTTGACGATGACTACTTGCATCACCATCATCATCCTCCTCCCAACAATCACTATCCTCCGCAACATAAGCACCAGCAGCAGCAGCACGAATCGGAGGAAAATGCGCATCTACACCACAACCACAAGCATCAAGCCCACAAGGGGAAAAAAAAGGGCTCTGACAGCGAGTCTAGCCATTTTCACAGCGAGGAGGAAAGCTCTCCTCATTACCCTCGAGCTGGCTTCCATGGCTATGGCAACAACCAGGACCGTGAGCCGGAAACTTCCTTTCATTATCCTGGAGGAGCTAATTTCCGTGGATACGGGTCTGGATTTGGAGATGGCTATGGCAATGACCCGTTTTCAGATCTCCCGCACTCTCATTCGTTTCATTATCCTCCGCAGCAGGCGTCCACCTCATACGGTGCACCCTATATGGACCAGTGGGACCAAACGGCTGCACCGCCACCTTGGTACTACTCGAATAATACGAACGTGTTCTACATGAAGAAGGGAGCCCCAGCAGCCCAGACAGTTGTTCACGTGCCTCCTCCTGAGCCAGCTCAAGGGTACTCTGACTTGTACTGGAATCCGGCTTATGGGAATCTTGGCTATGGTGCCAATTATGGGTATGCTGCTGTAGGAATGAGAAACAATGAAGCTGGCAGAGAAAGTCGGCAGAAGGAGGCCCCGCCTCCCCCTTCCCCGAAGGCTTCCGGATGGGATTTCTTCAACCCGTTTAACGGTCTTGAAAACGGTTTTGAAAACGGGTATGAGGATTTATACTCGGGGAAAAGATATGGGTACAGGTCGAGCTCCAGCAGTCCTGACTCGGCCGAGGTGAGGGAGAGGGAGGGGATTCCTGATCTGGAGGAGGAAACCGAAAGCGAGGTGTATAATAATAAAGAGGTTCTCAAGGGTAATAATAAAATGAAAGATAAGGGTAAGGGTAAGAGTGTTGAAAATAGTTCAAGATCTATGCCGCATCAAGGAGGTGAGAGCAGTTTAGGAAAAGAACCATTCCGTAAAAGTGAGGGCAGGCCGAAACCCGTGCCAGTGCATAATAGCAAGAGCAGCTCGAGATCAGTGCCCTCGTCGAGTAGTTTGGAGAGTGAGAATGATAAAAAGTTCGTGCCATTACAGCAGAAAAAGGGTAGTGCAAAGCTGTCTATGCCCTCTGAGTTTAGTGACAAGAGTGGGAAAAAACCATCTGTTCCGCTGCCACAATACAAAACGGGCAGTGAAAAGAATTCTATACCCCCACATTATAGTGAGAAGAGTGTGAAAGTGAAACCGTCGATTCCACTGCCGGAGGATGAGGGCAGTTCGAGTATAGAAATGGAGGGATCTATTAGTAGTTCGTCAGACGAGAATAGTAGTCGTAGTCCTGAGAATGTGGTGTTGGAAAGGGTTGATGAGGGTTTTGTAAGGAGGAAAGGGGTGATTTTTGAGGTGGAGGAGGTGTCGAAGCAGGATGGTGAGTCTTCAAAGCTGAGTAGCGTTACATTGTTGTCACCTCGTGGGAACCGTGACTTGCGTGAGGTTGTGGCAGAGATTAGGGACGAGTTTGAGATGGCAGCTGCTTATGGGAAGGAGGTGGCTGTGATGCTCGAGGTCGGGAAAGTGCCATATCAGCCTAGCTTTCTGAAAGGTGATATTTATTTTTCAATCTCTCATATGTGTGATATTTTGATGAACAGCTGTATAGGCATAGAGTGGTGTCATGGAGCCGTGACTCCGTGTTTTTCCAGAAATGTTGCATTGTGAAGTTAAAGGATGGCTTCGAGTTGTGTGTAGTTGATTGTTGAACAAATGTGAAATTTCCCTTCTTATTATTAGGTTTGGCATTTATACAGTTAGGATCCTGGAGGAAGATGGGGTTCAAACTAGTAAACCACCGCTTAATGAGTGAACTAATGCTTATCTGTGTTTGCTAGTCTATGCGTGTTGGTGTTTATTCACATGTTGGATTAACTGATGGTGGATAGAGGTATTAATTAAGCTATTTGCTTGAGATAACTGCCTATTTCCCCTAAAAGATAACTGTATAGTGAAAGAGATGAGTTTTAGTTAGACAGAGAGTTGACTACTACACAAATATTGCAGTGTTTGCATTACTGGCTTAGTTATTATTGTATTTACATATTGTTTGTTCTAGTTAGCATCCACCATTTATTAATATATTTTTGTGGAGCTATATCTTCTCGTGTTTATAACGTTATAATCTATTCTCACCTACATTGTGTACTCCTTTGTCGATAACTAACACCTCTTCTAACAGTAATCCGCTCCCGGATGTTGTATTCACTATCACCATCCCTATCATCACGCGATCCTCCATCATTAGAATCTGCAAGATTAGCTTCCAAGACAATGAAGTTGGCAAAATCTTACTTTGATGATGTCGGGCAGAATGTAGACACAAAGGCATGTAACCTCTCGTCCACTCTGGACAAGCTGTATGCTTGGGAGAAAAAGTTATACAAGGAAGTAAAGGTAAACTGAGTCTGGTTTCCATTTCTTATTGCTATATATATTATGCTCTTCTTTGTTGTTTCACTCATGATGAACCTAGATATTCATGATAATTGAGTTTGAGGATTCACGTTTCAATTGATCATTTGTGTAATTAAATTGGTCGATTGATGTTTTAAATATTTTATGCACATTATAAGCAGTTGAGAACTACTTGGACTATATGCATCCACAAATTGATTCAAGTTGTTCTAATGGACGAGAAAACTTACTGGCATGTTGCATGCAATGGTGATTATTCAACTGAGAACAATTCTTGGGATATCATAAAGTTAAATTTTACTGCCTCACATATTTATGCAACTCCTCTCTTGCAATTCAAACTTGCTAAAGTTTTGGTAGGTGGTTACTTTTATTAGGATGAAGAAAAACTCCGAGTCGTGTATGAGAAGCAGTGCAAGAGGCTAAAAATCTTAGATGAGGAGGGAGCCGAGCCTATCAAGATTGATGCCACTCGAGCTTCTATAAGGAGATTGCTAACAAAACTCGATGTTAGCGTAAAAGCAATTGATGCTATTTCAATCAGGATACACAAGCTAAGGGATGAAGAATTGCAACCTCAGGTTGCTGAATTGATTCACGGGTACAACTACGCTCATTGCTTGATCTACTCTCATTTTGTCAAATATAATTGGTTACACCATTTCTTTTTTTATTTTTTATTTTTTATTTTTTTCTTATTATTGCCTTTATCGAGTCAACACCATTCACAGTAAGATGACTGATTTTGAAGGTTTGCTCCAATTGCAGTATTCCCCCTGATTCCTGTTATTATTGGGTTCGGCCATATAATTACTTTATGTCTGAGTTAAACCACCAAATTTCATGTGTTTTTGCCTTTGTTATTTATCATAAATGCGAATTTTCTTGGATAATAATATGAAAAAACATTACTATTTTGATATCAGCCAGNTATAAATAAATAAATAAATAAATAAAATCCTCAATTGCTGTGTTGTGTTACCTGCAGTTTTATCCGTATGTGGAAGTCGATGCTCAAGTGCCACCAGAAGCAGTTCCAGGCTGTGATGGACAGCAAGATGCGTAGGCTGCGGGCCAACACCGCTTCCCATTCGGGCCACGACCCAGCCTCGCGGGCCTCGGCCCGCCTCGAACGCGAGCTTCGGGCCTGGTGCTCCCGCTTCAACGACTGGATCAATTCCCAAAAGTCCTACGTCGAATCACTCAACGGCTGGCTCCTCCACTGCCTCCACTACAAGCCCGAAGAGACCCCAGACGGGCCCATTCCCTACTCTCCGGGCCGTTTGGGGGCCCCACCCATATTCGTTATCTGCAATGATTGGGCCCAGGCTATGCGGGCCGTCTCTGAGGCCCGAGTTGCAGATGCCATGAACACTTTTGCAGCCAGCCTCAGGCAGCTGTGGGAGAAGCAAGACGAGGAGGATCGGCAGAGGGTAAAAGCGGAATATTTGTCGAAAGATTACAAAAAACGGGTTGAAGAAGAGAAGAAAGGTCTGCGAATGGTGGTACAGTCGGACAGTAGCAACAGTGGTGGTGGGGTCTCACGGTTAGACGATCTGAAGGTGGATCTCGACTCGATGAAAGAGAGAGTGGCGGAGGAGAGAGTGAAGCATAAGGATGCTATGAAATTGGTGAACGATGCGGCTTCTAGAAGCTTGCAGGGTGGGCTTGTGCCGATTTTCAAGGCGTTGGAGAGTTTTACGAAGGAGGCTCTAAACGCGCACGAGCATGTCCGGTTTGAGCGTCCTTCTGGGCCGGGCTCGTAACGGTGGGTTTTTTCGAACTCTGGATGTGTATAGGAGAATTTTGTAGATGAGGTTCTGATTCTACTTTAGGTTAGCCCAAAATAGGTAGAGAGATTTTGTGTACAGGGATTTCTATATTTATTGATTTTTAATTTTATACATGGTTTTGATTGGCTGAATTTTGGTGGTTGTGGTTTAGTTTATTTATAGGATGGATAATTTTTTGTTCGTTTCTGGGCAATGGGGAAGTGACTCTTGTTGACTTGGGTGAAATTAATTTTGTTATGACAGTATATATGTTTCAAGATTTTCTGTGTTAATTTCTTTTTAAGTGGGGCCAATTAGTTCTTAAAAATTCTTGTGGAATTAAATTGAATTCTCGTAGACTTAAATTGAATCAAACTCGAGGTTTAATTTCATAATTTGTCCATTTTTTGTCGCCCGTGGAATATGAAACTAAATTAAATTTTATGTGATTTCTCCAATATTATGAACAAACAATATTAAACAAAATTAAATTTCACTAACAAAATTAAAATTTGTTACATCATTTCTCTTAAAATTAAAATTTATTAAAATTAAATTTCACTAACAAAATTAAAATTTGTTACATCATTTCTCTTAGGAACATCATTTCATTTCTCTTCTATGTGCTTCTGTTTTTAACGGGTCTATGTGCTTCTGTTTTTAACGGGTCTATGTGCTTCTGTTTTTAACGGGATAGTGTGTGTTTCTATGTGCTTGGGATAGTATGTGTTTCTGTTTTTAACGGGATAGTGTGTGTTTCTATGTGCTTGGGATAGTATGTGTTTCTGTTTTTAACGGGATAGTGTGTGTTTCTATGTGCTTGGGATAGTGTGTGTTATAGTGTGTGTTTCTATGTGCTTGGTGTGTGTTTCGATGTGCTTGTTTTTAATGGGATAGTGTGTGTTTTGCATGGCAGAGTGTGTGTCTATGTGCTTCTATTTTTAGCGGTCGTCGTCGATTGTCAAACTTACTTTCATCTTAAATCCAAATTTGCTTTCTTTCTAAATCATTCTATTAAAATGAAATATAGTGTTTCTTCTACTTATAACTAGTTTCGATAAAATTTAACGTTACCAAATCTATTTCTCTCTCACATGGGTTTTTATAGAATTTGATTGAAACACTTCTATATTTATCATTTCTAGATCAGCCGTTCAAAAAATTGATATTCAGTAGTTAAAATCTACTGGAATGTCTTAAAAACGTTATATTAGAATATTGAAATATGAATATTTTAGTATTCTTCCTCATTAGAATAAAATCTATAATTTTCTTGTGGTGTTAATATTTTCTCCCATATGAGATGAGACACTCATGGACCAAATATCTTCTGTTATGTTACAAGTTAATGTGTCTCAAGCATTTTCATAAACTACTGGTTTGCAATTTACCAAAATATATATGTTGTACATCTGTGCAGTCTTTTTTCCTTTTTCTTTATTTTTTTTTTCCCATTTCGTTAATCTCCCAAGTAAATTCTTACAAAATATATTACTATGAAATTTAAATATTGCGGACTAGTGTATGAATTTTATATGTGATGACTCTTTATAGGATGGCTTTGAGGTGTGTAGTTGATTGTTGAACAAATTGTGAAATTTCCCTTGTTATTATTGCGTTGCTAGTGTGTGTTGGTGTCCATTCATATGTTGGCTTAACTGATGATGGATAGAGGTATTAATTAATCTATTTGCTTGAGATCGACTTCCTATTTCCTCCCCTAAAAGATAACTCCATAGTGAAAGAGATGAGTTCTAAGAGCTTCTCCAGCGCTGCGTTGGAATAGAGTTTTTCGTGGAGTTGTGTGGATATTTATCTCCAACGCAGTGTTCCATCTTCATGCTACTTCCCATACATAAACAGTACAACGGCGCTGCACTATTCACCGACGCCACAATTTTTCTTTTTTTTATTGTTTTTTCTTTGTTTTATTTAATGAAAATGTATTAATCTACCAATTGTGTTTAAAATTGAACTAACAAGCATGTTTTACAAATAACATATATAAATATAAAAACATTGTTTGTTCTCATTTCCAACAATATAAAATAAAAATAATGTTGAATAAATTTTATTACTATATATATTGTTTGTATCTATATATATTGCTTGTATGTTGTTTGCAAACATTATAAAAAATATTTGTTGAATAATTTTAAATAAAATAATTTTGATATATATATATATATATGTGTGTATTGTTGTTTTGTTAAACATATAATAACAAATTTAATACATAGATTACTTGTTGAGAATTCACTATAACTTTTTAAGAAATACTTAATTAATCTTGTAATAAATAAAATATTATTAATATAAATAATAATGTATCTAATTCTATTTTTTTCAATCTTATAATGATAATTAAAAACTAAATATGTGTATAACAATATATTTCATAAATTAAATTGTTGGGTATTAAAATTAATTTTAAATAATGAGAATAAAATATAAATATTCATGTAGAGTAAAATGTAGCGCGAACGATTGGAGATGAACCTTGATTGTTGGCTAACTCTACTTTAGAGTAGAGTAAATTCTACACTAGAGTAGAAATAATGACTGAAGATGGTCTAAGTTAGACAGAGAGTTAGACTACTACACACCTATTGCAGTGATTAATGGCTTAGTTATTACTGTATTCACATATTATTTATTCTAGTTAGCATCTGTAATGATTTTCGTAATTGTAATTTTCTGGATTTTCTCTTTATTTTGTATGAAATTTTCTATAATTTTGGAGAAGGAATATGGGGAAGAAGGAAGATTGTGTAGAGAGAAGAAAGAGATTGAGGGAGAGAATAGATTTTTGTAACGTATTTCTTGTTTTATTGTTTTGGTAACATCCATCTATTTATAAAGATCTATTACAAATACTAACTCATTAACCTACTAAGTACTAACTATTAGAAAAGACTAAGCTCATGTCCTATTATCACATTACTAAAGCCAAAATCCATCCAATGCTATAATAAAACTAATATATAAAATAAATAGCTAAAATACTAATATAATATAAATTTCTAATATATCAGGTAAATGACAATATTCCACTCTCGAAATAGTTTCGTCCCAAAACTCATACGTTGAAAATGTAAGTATTGCATTCAATGTCCTCCTTCCAAATCTTCAAAGACCCAAATTAAAATCTTCACCCAAAGATAATCCAATTCGAAAAATTTTTATGTTAACTTTTTTTAAGGTAAGGGCCAATTAGTTCTTAAAAATTCTCATGGAATTAGATTGAATCAAACTCAGTGATTTAATTTTATATTTTATTTGAACTCCTCCCAATTGATCTTTTGTAGCAAATCTAAAGCGAAAGAAATTAAATTTTATGTATTTCCTATAGTTCAATTGATTAAAGGTTCAAGCTCAATTCATTAATACTGTTAAACAAATTGAATTTGAGCTTTTTGGTTAACTAGCCGAACTCGTTTCGGTTTAATAAAGGTTCGAGTTTGAGTTTGGCTCAGATCGACTAGTTTACTCCCCTCAAGTAAAGTTGTTGAATAAAGTGAGTCGTTTGTAAGTTTGTCTCGTTAAAGCTTGGCTCAAGTCTTTGATAAACAAGTTGTGCTCAATCTCATTTTTCGATTGGTTAACAAGTTGAGCCCGACTCAACTCGCTCGATAAAGCTAGAAAATATATTTTTTTTATAGCTCGGCTCATTGAAATTTGATTTCGACCTGCTAAGGCTTGAGTTCGGCTCGTTAATATTAATAAACGAGACGAAATCGAGCTCGATTATAAACTCGTTTACATCCCTACCCTCAGAGGGACTAAATTGCATAAAGTATCTTATGTTTGGATACATTTGCAATTTCACCGAAAAATGAATCCCAAATAACCAGCTCGAGAAAAACCTTTAAAAACCCTCGGTCCCTCTCAGCTAAGCTACGTTTCGATCCTAAACCAAAAGGCAAAGATCTTTTCAGATCATTTTCGAGTAAACTGAGATTCGGATAAGCCATGGAGTTAGTCAAGCTCTCGATATATTCATCGCTGATCGTGTTGGCGTTGACCTTTTCCGTCTCAGCCGCCGGCGATGAATCTGAATCGAAGGAGTTCGTAGTGACGTTGGATCACTCGAATTTCAAGGATTTTGTCTCGAAGAACAAATTCGTCGTGGTTGAATTTTACGCGCCTTGGTAATATTTGTTCGTAGTTCCTCCTTTTTTCTGTTTTCGGTTTACGTGTTTGTGTTTGTTCGTTATTGTGTACGATCTTGTTTTCCGTTCTCTTCACAGGCATTACATCTGTTTTGTGCTGCAGTTTCGATTTCCTTATCAGGATTAACTGCTCTCAATGTGTTTTTGTTTTGTTTGATTTCTGGGTTTAGTGGTTTAGCGGTCTCTAATGTGGCAGATTATTTTCCTCTTTCTTTCTTGATCTACATTTTGGATGCCTTGAGGTAATTGTCTACTTCACTATACTGTGAATTTCAGCTTAAAAAGGACTGATCTTGAAGTAGTAAATTGGTTTTGTTCATGTAGTTAGATTTTTTCTGTTCCCTTCCTTTCTTGATCTACATTTTGGATGCTTTGAGGTAATTGTGTACTTGTTATCTGTGCACTATGGTGTGATTTTCAAGCTGAAAAAGGACTGATCTTGAAGTAGTAAATTGGTTCTGTTCATGTGGTTATTTAGGTTACTGAAAAAGCCGTAGATTGTCCCTATATGTTGTAGCTAACCGCTGTGGAGTGTATATTGCTTGTTCTGTCAAATTCCTGATATGTACTTATGTTTAGTGATCAGTTGATTATTGAGAAACTAAAAGACTACAGAAATAGTGGTGGTCATATCTTATGGTGAAATTGAATTATTTATAGAAGTCAAGTTCCTGATATGTACTTATGTTTTACCAGGTGCGGTCATTGTAAGAAACTTGCTCCAGAGGTACTTATCTCTTGCTCGTTTGGAAAAACGATTCATTTCTTTTTAAATCATTACTGGATGAAGTTCTGAATAAACACACACACAGTGCTTACATTTTTCTTTTTGCATTTTCAGTATGAGAAAGCTGCTTCTGTTCTTAGTGCGCTTGATCCTCCTGTAGTCTTAGCAAAAGTTGATGCTAGTGATGAGCAAAACAAAATCATTGCTAATGAATTTGAGGTTAGAGGTTACCCTACACTTAAAATACTGAGAAATGGAGGCAGTGTTATTCAAGACTACAAAGGACCCCGAGATGCAGATGGTATTGTCACTTATTTAAGAAAGGAAAGTGGTCCCGCTTCCTTTAAAATCAAATCCTCTGAAGATGTCTCATCTATAATCGACGAAAACAAGATTCTTGTCGTAAGTATACTCTCTCCCATTCTTGCGTGTGTTTGAATGCCAATTTAACGTAATCTAGAGAACTTGTAACTAGTGTTAACGAACTCGGCTCGAAAAATAAACTAGCCAGAAATCGAGCTCGAGCTCGGCTCATTTATCACTATTAACGAGCAGATTTTGAGCCTTAACGAGCGGAACTAAAGAAAATCATATAAAAATTCTCTTTCCGATCCTTATCGAGCCGAGCCGAACTCAGCTCGTTAACCAAGCGAGCTTTAAATGAGCTCGAGCTCAAGCCTTAACAAGCTGAGCCGAGCCAGACTCGTTTAATTCAACAACACTACTTGTAACTCCGGATTGTATAGGTTGGCGTGTTTCCAGAATTTTCTGGTGAGAAGTTTGAAAATTTCACTTCTCTGGCTGAGAGACTGCGTGCTGATTATGAGTTTGGTCATACTTTGGATGCTAAACTTCTTCCTCGTGGAGACTCCTCTGTTGCAGTACCTATTGTTAGGTTGTTAAAGCCTTTTGATGAACTCTTCGTGGATTTCCAGGTATATGTAAACACTAAACAGTATCTCACTTGTACAATACTTATACATCTTTAATTTCTCTTAATTTAAAGAGGAAACTTTTTTGCAGGAATTTGATGTGGATGCTTTAGTGAAATTTGTTGAAGAAACTAGCATCCCAACCGTGACTTTCTTCAACAAGGATCCGAAGAACCATCCTTTTGTCATTAAATACTTCAACAGTGCCAATGCCAAGGTTTGTAATGATTTATATTGTCTTGTTCACTGAAAGATCGCACATAATTGTTTCATAATTATGCAAAATGTTAATAGATAGAATAGGATTATGAGAAATGAATTATGCGACTCCTACAGGTTGCATTCTCAACTCGATATGTTCTTTAGAGTAGATGGATATTTTCATTTAATAATGCTTTTCTAAAATCACCTTTCAAGAATTCAGCTTTTACTGTTGAAAATCTAAGTTTACTTGTCAAGCATAAACTTTGCCTCACATTCGTGTTGTCTAGTAGTTGGTGGTAATAAAGCAATTGTCTTCTGAAGCAATGAAAGCAACCTCATGAAGAGTCATTTGTAAGTTGAAATTGATGGCCATAAATGAATTACCATAAAAAAATGGGGACTTTTAATATCTATTTTTCCAGGGTCCTTTACGGTTGATTTGTTGAAACCTATTTTAACATTACTACAAGGTACTCTGAAGTATTAGTTAGTGTGTCCTCATTTATCTATTTTATCTATTTTGATTGGAGGTTCCATCAATTTTATGTAATCTAGCAATATTCAGTAAAAAAATGATTATTTTCAAGTTAGCACTTAATTTGAACTCATTTTGGAAAGATCACTTGCCATATATATAGCTATAAAAAATTGATCATTTTCAAGTTTAGCACTTAATTTTGAACTCATTTTGGAAAGATCACTTACCATGTATATATCTGTTTCCTCTATTCGGAAAATTTGGTAATTGCTCAAATGATACTTTGTTGCTCCACAGGCAATGTTGTTCCTTAATTTTACCAGCGAGCAGTTTGATGCATATAAAACGAAATATCATGAGGTGGCTGAGCTTTACAAGGGCAAAAACCTGAGCTTTCTTATTGGCGACATTGAGGCTAGTCAAGGTGCCTTTCAGGTTCATATTCTTGAACACCTTATCTTTAATTCTTTTTTTTCCCAACACATTACTATGCTGATAATTAATTCAACTCTCTTCAACAGTATTTCGGGCTCAAGGATGAGCAAGTTCCTCTTATCGTTATTCAGACTAATGATGGTGAGAAATATCTCAAACCTAATGTTGAACCAGATCAGATTGCCTCGTGGGTGAAAGACTTCAAGGTACTTTAAACCTAAATATATTAATTGATAAATAATTTTTATTTTTCTAATTAATATTAATAAATAATTTTATTATTATTAAAAAGATAAATATAATTTATTTATTTTATAAATACAATATGGATGTCAAATCGAAGCTCTTCTTGATGATTAATTTGATATATTATATATGTAAAATTGGTAAAAAAATACAAAAGTTATTAACATTTAAAATACATTTACGATTCAATGGTTATAATAGAAAATGATATTAAAATGCAATTAATACATGTAAAATAAACGTAAATAATCAATATATTTATGGATAATCCGGACCTAATTATTTTTGGAAGTAAATTAAAATCTATCCAACCCAAATAATGAAGCATAAAACTTTGCCACATAGAATCCCGAAGCAGCTAGCCTGCCACTTAGGCTCAGCACATTCAATAATTATATATAAGGGGGATACATGTAAAATGACCATAAATAACTAATTGAAATTTCTCAATGTTCTATGTGAAGGATGGCAATGTTCAAGCATATAAGAAGTCAGAGTCGATTCCTGAAGTTAACAACGATCCCGTTAAAGTGGTGGTGGCTGACAACCTCCAAGACGTGGTTTTCAATTCCGGGAAAGATGGTGGGTATCTGCTTATCTTGTACCAAAGTCTTATCACATTCTCTTATACAATAAAGATTTTCTACATTTTAGTCACAACTTTTCTTCTCCTTTTTCTCCTTTCGTTAGGGGTCCGTTTATTTTGGACGATTAGCTTAGATATCCCAGCTAGTATAATCCAATCCTTTGTTTCTTTGGAATGATTGCAGCCCGTTTATGAATCCTACACTCGATGGGTTTTAAAATTTATCATCACTTTTGGTGATAATTCTGTCAAGGAACTTTAATAGATTGGAAATTACTCGATTGTCCCAAACTTTAAAGTTTATCATCACTTTGGGGAACTTTTTTGGTATTGCACGTGAATCTCAAGTTAGTCCTAACAAATTGTCCCTTGATGTAAACTCTTGATAAAAACTTCCAATCATTAGAAAGTATATACCACAGCTAGTAAACAAGAGATAATTTAATCTAAACAATACATAATTTAATCTCAGGATTATCCCATCCCAATACGTAAACGAGCCCTAGATGTTATTAGTTTATATACATGATCTATGTCCAATTTTTGTCTTCTTCCTTCTTCTCTACTGATTAGGCTTATTATTCTTTGTCTAGAGACGATTGAATTATGGTTTTATCATTTCCATTCGCTGCTTTTTTAGTGAATCTATTGTGAATTACATCTCAAAATATTTGCCCATTTTATGTGCAGTTCTTCTGATGTTCCATGCACCATGGTGTGGACACTGCAAGAAGTTGACACCAATCTTGGATGAAGTTGCTCTCTCGTTTGAGAATGACCCGGATGTTGTAATTGCCAAAATTGTAAGATTCACAACCCGTTAACATTAACGAATAAAGAAATTATTTGTGATAATAATTGGACTCAAAGGCAAAATTGTATTTTTAGTCTGGTTTAATGTCATAGCAATTGTAGTCTCAAGGTTCCAACATTTCGCTTTTTGGTCCCGTGAATTAGTATTTTGCAACNGTTATTTATGGTAATAATTGCATGCAAATTAACTGCTATTTGTAACTAGTTTTTTTTTTTTAACCTTTTGTTTAGGATACTTTCAACTTCAATTCTCTTACTCTGTGTCTGGTTTTTGTGCAGGATGCCACTGCAAATGATATCCCACGGGACATTTTTGAGGTGAAAGGTTATCCGACATTATATTTCAGGTCTTCGACTGGGAATATTGTCCTGTACGATGGAAATAGAACCAAAGAAGACTTGATTGATTTCGTTCACAAGAACCGAGCTACTGTTGCCAAACAGGAATCACAAAAGGAGGAACTCTAGAGAAGGTAATGAAATTTTCAAGTATATATACTATGTAGTGCATATTTTGTAAAATTAAATTAAATAAGTCATTTGTATCTTTAGCCATCTGAATATGAGCTAAAGTTTTGGTTAACTGATCCTGAGATTTGACTTAATGACCGATAAAATGAATTTTGTTTCAATATTCACTTTGCAGGCGTGTGAAGTCATCATCTCTTTCGGAGAGAAAATGTTCACTCTTTTGAGACAGGCAGATGATTTTGGTCGACCTGAAATTCCTCGGTAGAAAATATTGCATCTCCATTTTTCTTAAATATTATTTACTAAGGAGAAGATGAAAATTTTTCGGGTTGTTACTTAAAGCAATTTCAGATGTTTAGATTTGCATGACCTTCAGCAGTGTTGACACGGCTTTGTGGCTGTTTAGAGTAAGAACTTGGTTTATAATTACCAGATCAAAATAGTTCCTTTTCATAGTCAAATATTTCACATTGCTATGTCAGGCCTTTCCATATGGTGAACTTACTCTGATCAAAATAAATTTACACTGTGATTTTAATCGTTAATTTATACATTTTCATAGTGTATGTTGGTTTAATGGTTAAAAAGCTTTGTGTGGACAGTAACTGTCAGATTACACACTCATATGGTATGGGTGTATATTGATCTAGACTATGTTTGGTAAACTTAGCTGATAAGTTAGCTTATAGCTTTTAAATATTTTCGAGTTTATAGCTCATAGTTTATGACTTATGGCAGAAAAACTAGATTCTATGGTAAAAATGTTTGATAAAATTAGCTAATATAAAATTTTCAATTGGCTTATTTAAAAAGCTACCCAATGAAGAGATAAGCTCGAGATTTTTGAAGAAATTCGTCCTACCAAACTAAGTTTATTTGAATATAAAAAGCTTATGAAATAAACAAATAAGCTATAAGTTACTTATATACTTAACGAACACAGTCCTAGTGGTTAAAAAATTGAGATAATTACACACCATACAATCTCATTCCATCTTATTTTAATTTAGACGAGCCTTCTCTTTTTATTTGCATATGTACGACATATTTTTCACTTTTCTTCATTCTCTTTCTTTTTTTCCTTCACCTTTTTTATTTAGTTCATTTTCTCTTGCAAACACTCAACGCAAAGAACAATAAGTCCTAATTCAATTCACAGCGGCGGAAGTTTTTCTCATCGGGTCCCCTTCCTCGTTTTTCTCTTGCAAACACTTATTTTAATTCCTCATCGGGTTCCCTTCCCCGTTTTCTCTATTTTTTTGCAGAAATTCATCTTTTATCGGATTCTATCGATTTAACAGCGACTGAACCTTCGATCGGTAGGATCCATGGAGTCGTGCCCTTGTTCTGATCCTTCCATACTGAGCGGAGGCTGATTCACCATTACAGTGAGCTTCGATCTATTCCTAAATCGGGCGACCCAATCACTATTCGATGGTCCATCACTGACTCCTCGTCGAAGCTCGATTGGCTCGACATCTGATCTCCTGCGAATAAATGATGTTATCTTTTTTGTTTTTATTCAATTGATGAGGGTGACGTCGGAGGGGCCGTCGGTTCCGGCTTCGATGCTGCCGCCGAACAAGTACTACCGACGGGTTTTCATTTTGTATATGTTGCGGGTTTATGTTGTGGGTATATGTTCTATATATTTAGAAGATTTTTTTGTATAAAGAATATAAGTAACCTGTTATAATATGTTTATAAACTACATATATACTTTTATGTATAAAAGTAAAAAAAAAAAAAAAAA